TCATCTCTTCTATTCATGCTTTCAGGTCTTTTTTCAATCTCTATGGCTTCTCTGATAATTCTCTAGCTGGGGTTTTCTATAGTGGCTAGGGTTTTGGTGCCATTGAAGTCAATGTTATGACATGTTGCTTTCATGTGTTGGACTAGTGATGAAGTGTGTTCCAGCTTTTTTACTGCATTTTTGTGTTCATCCAGGTGGGTACTATTGGTCTGTCCAATGTACACGGCAGGGCATGATGCACAGGGGACTTCATATATGCCTTGGTTTTCCAGTCAATTTTATCTTTGGGGTTTCTTAGGATGGCTGCTATATTTCTGTCTGTTTTGAAGGCAGTCTTGATGTGATGCCTGTGTAGTATCTTACTGATTTTGTCTGTAGTACTCTTATGTAGGGCAGGACAGCTATTCCATAGGTCTGTTCATCTTCTAGGTCTCCATTATGTCTCAGTGTGTTTTGGTGGATCAAGCCGGTGATTTTGCTTTTGTGGAAGCCGTTAGCTGTCAGGACTTTAGTCAGGGTGCATAGTTCAGTCTTTATGTTTGTCTTGTCTACCAGGAGTTTGGTTCTGGGGATTAGTGTTTTGGCCATGGAGTTTATCTCTGCTGGGTGGTGGTAGGATTGGGCATTGAGGTAGGGGTTGGTGTGTGTTTTCTTCTGGTATATGGTGTGTCCTAGTGTGCCATCTGTTTTTTTGTAGATTAGTACATCTAGAAATGGTAGTTGTTTGTTTGTTTCCATTTACATGGTGAACTTGATTTTGGGTGTGTGCTGTTTAGGTGTGTTAGGAAATTCGTCTGACGAACACATACAGAAACCTGATGATGGCAGATGAGATTCTGCTGAAACACTGATACAACTTTAAAAGCACAACTATAATGACGTGGGAAAATACCCGAACAAAGCTGAATACCATACATATAAGTACCAGCGAAAACTTAAGAATGCATACACACACACACACACACACACACACACACACACACACACAATTCTTCATTCAAAAGACAAATTCCAAGTATTTGAAACATAATTCCACAATCCATCAGTACCTTTGCTTTCTCAAGAATGTGATAATACCTTATTTAAGAAGAGTAACTATTTGACAATAGCATGAGTACTGATGTTCCATTATACCTAACACATGAAAAGAACTCACAGTTTTCTGGTTTTAGCCTTGTGCCTTAACTTACACCAAAATGGCCCTTTTATTTTGATAATACAATTTTATATACAGTATTTATTTCCATTAAACAAACTCTTTTTCAAGAATAATGACTCCTGGTGTTTAGAACCAGGACAACAAATAAAGGCTATTTTTTCACAAATATCTATAGCTGTTTTACTGACTGGCATTATATTAGATTTACTATAATTTATTGTCTATTTTCTACTGTTGTAATAGTTTGACAAATCTTGATTATTATTATGCAAACCATTACCTTCATCTTCGTATATCATCTGCATATATTGTTTGCTATTTCTGCTCCATGAGTTCCTCTGATTCAGTAGATTGTATTATTAATTGTAAAATTAAACATTAAAGGAATTAAAATGAGCCTTGATGCATTCCACTTCTCCATTTGATCACAAAAGAGATAATCCCGCTAGTATTTATCCTTACAGCAGAATTAAAATAATAAATTTTATGCAAGAAATTTCTACAGGAAGGAATTTTTTTTATAGCCATATTCTGAAAACTCTATATGAAAACCTTTTTTTCTTCATCTAATGATCTATTTGTAAAACAACTATTTCATTTTTATTGGCATATCATGCAAATACATGTACAAAAATGTTAATATTATTGAAGGGTTGACATCCTTTCAAAAAGGCAGACTATGCTGGACAAATTATTGAAGGACAGCCTGCTTTAGCCTTCATGTCAAAGTGACTGTTAAATCAACATCAATAAAACAGTCACTCACACAACCCATAGGGTCTTTTCTGCTATAATTTAAGTACAATACATGGTGAAGGTATTTCTTTTCAAAATATTTCTTTTATATTTCTAACAAAGTAGAGAAAAGCTTTCCTTTCAATTTTTATATCACTCCACATTTATTTTAAAAATTATGGTGCAGTTAAATCCTTTGATTTTGGGAGATTTATTCCTTTTAAAAAGGTATTCATCTGAACTAGCAGACTTTCAAGGTCCTCTCCAACTATGTTAATCTGTCGAATGTTATATCTGGGTTCACAAAATATGATTTTGTAAAACTCCACAAATTAGGAATTGATGTCATGATAGTTCTTATTTGTTATGCCAAATACTTTCCTTAAGTAGGCATTATCTTTCTACTGCTGTTCTGACCCAACCGGGTTCCCAGAGAGAAAACATAGACAAACTCAGCAACTCAAACCTTCACAGCTTTAATCTACAAATAAACTTCTTTGTAGATAAAAGATGGCTTGCAGCCAATTAGTCCAACCAGAAAAACCTTGACAGAATTCTTCAGATAAGCCGGAGTCTCTACATACAATGCTGAGTCCTTTGAACATTTTGCCTTCTACAGAGCAAAAATCCTTTGAAACCAGGCTTATATTCCCTGGAGGGAGGGGCCATTACTTAGCATTCTGATTTCCGAGTCGCCTATGCTGCTCCAGCTGTTCTCTTCTATGAATCATCCTGCGCTCACTCGCACTTAGTACAGGCTCCTCGGGAACCTCCTCCTCACTGCTGCTGGCTAACCACAACGGCTTCCTTCAAGAATTTAATGGTTTACCAAATTCTCCTACCTATTCTCAATAGTTTGGTTTAATACACTTGAACTAATATTTAGTAATGAAAGAATGGTATTGATTAAATTACAAATTAAGCAACCTTCAAGTGTAATGTACTTTCAAAATATGATTTCTGATGTCTTTAAATTCTTTTCTAACTTTAGACAATGTCATTCAATTTTTCCCCTTGATACACAGACTGTGGTCTTTCCCCATAAACATGTTTCAAATGAATAAATTCTCTTTTTATTTGGGCGAAGATACATATATCTTTCTTTTATACATATATCTTTCTTTTATAATTCATCTAAACAATGTGACTCTGGGGAATATACAGTACAAAAACCAATAATAAACAACAAAAATTCCACACCCCTAAAAACCATACAATATTAAGACATGTATAATATAAACAGATTAAATACAAAAATGACTGGAATCTCATTACAGACTTTTTGAATAAAACAGGAAAAATAAATGAACTCATGATTTATCTCATTGATAATTAGACAGTATAGAAAGAATAGAGTTATGTTGTAACAATAGAGTAAGGAATAAATTTATAATTGTACTCATAACTGCTGTAAAAAAGATTGAAAATGACTTATTTGTATCTTTTTATCTTTTTTTCTATTTTCTTTGGCTTTTTATCCTTTCTTGTACTGTTAGCTCTCTCTTTGATTTCCTTCTTTTCTTTCTTTTTCTTACTTTATACTAGTTTCTATCATATGTATGTATGTATGATAGACACTATATATATACACATACATACAAAATAAATATAATATAAAATATAATTACAGAGCAATCAAAAGGGGCTTCCTTCAATTAGCCTCAAATACCTGGAGTGCACGCACGCGCGCGCGCACCCACCCACGCACACATACACACACATACACACCCTTCTTAGGCCCTATACGATGATAAGATTTAAAATAAGGGACTGTAGCACATTTTCCATTTGGAAGATGTGGGTGAATAGATATTATTGGAAGAAGACTACCTTATAAGTAACTTTATCCTATGCTAAATAGGACTTTAAAAGTGATAATGAGCCCTTTGAATCATAACCAAAAGCCTAATGAAAGTCAGTGCAACTCATGAAATAACAGTGTTATACGGACATTTTGAGATGTGTCTATAACTACCCCCACCACTGACTTCTGGACAAACTGAAGTTTCTGGCTGGTGTCAAGAGCAGTACCATGGAATGATCTAAAATTAAGAGCTGTCGAAAACATTTCACTAAAACACAAAGAACAAAAGCCACATTAGCAGCAGCCACAACAGTTGTATTATTTATCCTGCATGTTTCACCTTAAATCTCTTAATCCAGACATAATTCAACCAAGGGTCTTTTATCTTTAAAAAAAAAAAATCATATTTTTATATGTGTTTCTTTTTTATCTTCATCTTCAGTTAATTCTCATAACAATATCAGAAATTCAAATGAACATGTAAAGTTGAAATCATTCTCCATATATCTCCCATTTGATCTGATAGCAGTAAAAATCCTCACTTCATGAGGAACTGTAAGTAATTCCTTACTTAAAGCCAGGCTCCTTCCACATTCCCCATCCTCCCAATTAGTTGAAGCTACAGTAATTGAAGCTCAAATGATAGGTAGCTTTTCAGAAGTTGGCTGATCCAGAAGAGAAGAAGGCTACTTCTTGTTTTATAGGAATATTATCTTCCCAAAATTGGCATAAACCAGTGGTGG